GTAGTTACCATCTCTGAGGACAGATTATGGACATCTGAGGAACAGGATGTCCTGAAACATCCAAACTTGTCCTTATGAATCATAGAACACTACACCATCATCATCACAATCATCATCATCACCACCACCATCATCATCTCTGTGTGAAGGTGCTTCTCACCCCCAGGCTCCACTGCTGTGACCCCCCTGAGCCATGACACTTCATCAGTCTGGGGGGGTCAGAAGTTCTGACCTCTGAGACGTCCAAACACAGAAGACCTGCAAGGACCAGCTGCCCGTCTTCATCATAGGTCCAATCCTGCACACAGGTCACAAGATTCAGGTCTCACGGTCCAGGTCTCATGGTGTGTTCAGGTGCATCAGGACTGATCTATGAGCACATTTGTTACCTGCTCGCTGTCTCTTGAGTCACATGGTCTCAGGACGACGGCCCCGCCCTTCTGGCTGACACGGCCCTGGGCCACCAGACAGCGGCTGGTTGCTAGGTTACGGAGCTGAAGGATGGCGAACACACAGAATGATGTCATGCAGGAAGCTCAGGTGTCTTAGTCAGGTAAATACTGAGGTTGTGTTCAGGTACCCGTCCTCGCTGCAGGACTTTAGGCCTCTTCAGGCCCTTGTTGACAAACAGTGCCTGCTGTTTGTTGCCATTGGCGACAGCCTGCATCTCGGGGTAGACCGTGTCCAGGTACCAGCGGAACGAGCGGCACTGCAGCCGCTTCCTGAGCGCTGTGCGCTCACTGATGTCGCCATAACTGCGCTCACGCAGCTCAGGACGCAGGGACAGAAACTGCTCCTGGTCAGACGAGGAGGACAGACAGAAAGTGATGTCACAGGGCACTGCAGCGGCCCGGTCTGTATGTGTGTCTGTGTGTACCTTATATTCGTCCATCCACACGTGTGCCAGCCGCAGAGAATTGTGAGCCATGGTGTCCTGTCCCCCTGGGGAGCCATAGGGACGTCTCTTCCTGAAGATGTGTCCCACTCTGGAGCACGGGATGATAAGGAGCTGTCCGCCACACATCCAGATCTGAGGACAGGCCAGAAAACAGATGACAAGGAGAAACGTCCACCCGGAAAAGGAAGGAGAGAAGGTCAGTCCCAGGACGAACAATTTAGACCGCGGATCTCCGTCTAACGACACCTTCACTGACAGTCTGTAAAAAACGGTCTCCGTCTGAAGACACCTTCACTGACAGTCTGTAAAAA